GACTTTCATGGGTTGTAATAAGGCCTTGGGGTGATATTGTGGTAAGCGAAACGAAGGACTGAGGATAGCAAAGAGAGTTGTTCCTATTGAATGACTTTTATTTCAAAAGCATCTCCCTTTTGATGGGATTTTCAGTCTAACACCATTACCACACTCTTTGTTTCTTTTATTTTTTTTCCTTATTATTTTCCTTTTCTTTTGTCATTCTTTTCTTCTTTTAACCCCCTTTTTCTCCTTTTCTTGGATTTTCATTCTTTGAAGTCAACTTCATTCATCCCTTTTGTTGAATATTTGCATCATGATTCCTTCTCTTTTATGATCACTCATATTCAGCTCTAGGAACAACCAAGGTGAGATAGATTTTTATCATTTTCCACTAGTTTGGTCAAATGTGTGGCATGAAAACGAATTTACAATTAAGGCTCAATCACGACACTAGGGACAAAATTTTCACAAGAAAATGGCTAAGGCTTAAAGAAAATCAAGGATGGCCTAATATCATTTCTAGATTGGCATGGGAGAGCATATTGCATTTCAAGACAAAGTCAATCAACTAACCAAAACAAGCATAATGAGATTATTGAAAAAAATTAGAATTTAAAAAATTGTTCCTTAAGTAAATGTAAGCTCCTTCCAGCAAGGGTTGGCACTAAAGCTCTCATGGGTCCTTACACATCTCCACTATTCATGTCAAGCACTAATATGTGAACTCAATTCATAAATTGTCAAAACTACAAATTCAAGTTGCACTTAAGGTTGAGTTCAAAAGCAAAAACAAATGTGCTACAGAAGCATAGGATGAACTTCTATAATGTGCTCATATGTTCAAGGTTCAACGCAAAGATCAACATATCAACAAACCCATAACAGTATAGAAATATAGATCAACATTCAGATATTTTTCACAAAAATTTTCAAATTTTCCACATAATTTGCTACTATTGTAAAAGAAAGTTGTAGGATATGTGAAAGGTGAATTTCACCACAAAAATTGGTATTATCAACAAAAAATTTCCACAAACATTGGTGTATCTTACAAATGGTGCACCTCACCCCCCTAGCTTCATTCATGTATTGTCCTCAATGCAACAAAAAAAGATATGATATGCAATGAAGGACTGTAAAAAGATGAGTAGGGTTAGAGAACACCTCGCATTTGAGCTTTGACAAAAATACCAATATCTGCAGCTGAGAAAGACAACACTATACGCAAAGATAAAGTAAGTAAGCATAAACAGTTAAAGTAAGAAAAAATGACTATACACTAAAGACCATAAGAACAGTTAATCCTCTAACAAGTCCGAGTAGAACGGATCCACCAATTCTTCCTCCACCCCTTGACCTTCATATCCCTCAAAAAATGGCTTAAGCCTTTGGTCATTGACCTTGAATGTTTTACCATCCTCAGGGTTTGTGACTTCCACTACTCCAACGGGGTAGGCCACCTTGACAAGATAGGGGTTATCCCAACAGGATCGGATTTTTCCTAGAAAGATCGAGAGATAAGAATTGTACAAGAGTACTTTTTGTCCGAGCTCAAATGTCTTTCTTAAAATGGATTTTTTGTGAAAAATTTGAGCTGTCATACAAATCTTTTTGAATCTCTTCTAATTCATTCATTTCAAGCTTTCTATTCTCTCCGACCATTCTCAAGTTGAAGTTCAAGGTCTTGGTGGCCCAATAATCCTTGTGCTCCATTTCAACCGGCAAATGGTAAGCCTTGCCATAGACTAGCCTATAGGGTGACATGCCTAGAATAGTCTTGTAAGTAGTGTGATTAGTAGTTAAAATTAGCATACTTCTATGCCTTTTTAAGACTAATTATACTTTGATGGAGTTTAAATGATGAAATTTCAGGTCCTAAAGTGAACAAAGCCTCAAGGTCAACAAATATCACACTTGAATGTAATACCAGCATATTAGGGAATAAAATTGGAGAAGGTTGGAACAAAACAAGAACGTTCGAACGTCCACTTGAACCAAGTGAAGACCAGGATGCTGAGACATGGTGTGTTACAGCCAAGAAGGAACAAGCTAAGGTACTTGAGTACCACATTCGAATGCCAACTCGCGTTAAAACGTCCACTTGAATTGATTGAGGACCAAGATAATAAATGCAAAGTGTCAAGATGTGCATGTAGTGTAGAAATAGGTTTCCACAGAAGACCACACGCCACTTGAAAGAGAAGGTTAGACCCCATCTGGCGTTCGAACGCCCATAAATCAAAGATAGAAGAAACGTTCGAACGCCAAACAACGTTCAAACACCTATAAAGCAAAACAGAAACAACGTTCGAATGTCAGATCATGTTTGAATGTTCTCCATAGATAGGGTGCAGGGTGGTTGATTTTCTCTCTAGACATTGGGACTTTCACTTGGACTTTGAATGCCTTGTACTATTCCTCCACACTACTTTGCTCCCAGCTCCTTGCCTATAAATACTCCCATTGTGGGAGCTTTAAGGAAGACTTGTAGAGAGCTAGATGGAGGCTTAGACTCCCACTCATATAGTTAGTCTTAGTCTTAGATTTATATTTGCTTGTATCAAGAGAGATAGTTTATCTTTTGGTTAAGGAAGCAACCCTTCATCTGTTGGTTGAGGAAGCAACCCTCCAAAAGTGACTAGCTTTCTTCTACTTTCAGTGTTCATTTCTTTCACTTCCATTGTTTGAGTATTCTTCTTTCTTAGAAGAGTTAAACTCTTCCACTTTTCTAGAGCTTTACCAAAGCTGTGAAGGGTGGAATGTGATTCACTCATTCTTCATTGAAGATCGGCTCTTTGTTTAGTGTGTTTCACTTTGTAACTCCTCTAGTTGGAGGGATGAGTATCACTCACTTTTCTAGCTTTACCAAAGCCATGAAGAAGTGAGTAGTTCCTCATTCACTCTTTAGTAAGACGTGATGAATATGTATAGATTATCCGGAAGTTATATTTGTGCCTTTCCTTTATACATTAATGCTTTATATTTCACTTGCTTATTGAATGATTGAATGCATCTAGCAAAGCTAAGGTACAACTTTTTCTTAAGTTGTATATGGTTGCCCTTCAAGAGGTGAATCTGTTGAACCTATGTCTCAACCATGCTTCAAGCATGTAAGAAAGTTCACGCCGTTCCTCAGGCAATAGATTTGCTCCCCCTAATGGCGGGAAGAGTGTCTTATTTTTCTTTTGTACGTACATAACTTCTTGAGATCTCATTATTTTAAGGTACCTTTGCCTCTGCAGGAGATGCCTCCTCAGGAGATTTTAATTACTAATTTTGAACTTATCAATATTTCTATTGCCTACTTTGTGGGTGTGGCCTCTTCAGGGTTGCCAACTTTTTTATGCAACTTCCATTGTATATTTTTCTTTTGTCTTTTCGGGGGTACCAACTTCCTTTATAGATGTCTGATAAAGGTCCACCAAATGTTTGCACATACGTGACCAATGTAATTTCATACCACACCTATAGCAAACTTCTTCATAGTTTTTGGACAATTTAGTCCGCAAACCCTTACTTTGCATCTTTGTTTTACCACTTCTGGTGGTAAGGTGAGGTGTTATGACCATGGTGTTGATTATCATTTCGACCACGCCCACATTTATTACCACAACCATGGTATGAGGTGGCATTCACTTCAGGGAATGTTGTAGAACCATTCGGGCGTGATTCATGGTTTTTCATCAAAAACTTATTATTTTGTTCAATCACAAGAAGACACGATATCAAGTCAGGGTATTTAGTGAATATGCGCTCTCTATATTGCTACTACAGGAGCACATTAGAGGCGTAAAGAGTAGAGAATGTTTTCTCTAACATATCTTCATCAGTAATTATTTCTCCACATAGTGTCAATTGTAAGCTGATTTTGAATAGTGCCGAATTATAATCGCTCACCTTTTTAAAAAATCTTGCAACATTAGGTGCTTCCATTTATGTTGAGCATTTGGAAGTATAACGGCCTTTTGGTGGTCTTACCATTCCTTTAATTTATCCTAAAGGACAAGTGGATCCTTTTTCATGAGATATTTACTTTTCAATCGTCCATGAAGGTGATGACGTAGGAATATCATTGTCTTTGCGCGATCCTACAAGAATGCGTCATTTCCTTCTTTGATAGTATCACTAAAATTCATAACTGTCAAGTGGATCTCAGCCTCAAAGATTCAAGAAAAATAGTTGTTGCCCGAAATATCAAGAGTGACAATATAAAGTTATAAAAGAATTATTATATATTCTTTATTCCGCCTGAGTTCTGGTAGAATTTAGGCAGAATAAAAGAATTATATAATAATCTATCACTCCCTCTTCTGGAAGCAGTAATATGAAAACCAAATACTATTCAAAAAGTCAAAACTTGTAATCAAACTTCTTCTTTTTAGTGCATGAACAATTATAGAATAAAAAAAGTGATTCTCTTAAAAGAAATTTACCTGAAATTCTTAAGCCCGGAGAGAATAGAAATCTAGCACTTTTCTCAAATTCACTTGAACAACACTCGAGCTATTCATGCTAATAGCATATTATGAAAGTAAGAGAATTATAGAGAGTACAAAAAGAATATAGAGAAAAAACTTCTCAACTTGTGTATTTCTCACTGTAGTAAAGACCTCTTTTTATAGGCCTCAGATCATAATGGTCATCAAATACAATATTAACTCTGGGTAGATGTTATAGAGTCAAATACTAATAACTATTAAATTGGTAAGCTAGAGTTCATCCATATCTATATCCAATATATTTACAAGTACAACATTATAAAATCAATTAGCATTACCAAATTGTTTTGATTTGTTATTTTTCTTTTTGATTATTTATTGTGAGCCAAATAATGTTTCTTTTGGTGTTTGTGGATTTTGGAATACTCTCTATTTCAATCACTTTGGAATTTGAGTTTTTGTGTTGACTGTTGAATGGTTCTTGTGTTCTGTGGGTGCAAATCCTCTTTTTTGTTCAGATGAGTTTCTCTTTCTCTCTCTAAAATATAGAGCTCTAGAAGAAGACACCATCACAACCTTGAACAAATCCATCTCCAATACCACTAACACCACCAAGACCCATCTCTCATTGCCGCCATCTCCTCCTCCATCATCATCATCTTCAAATCCTCCTATATATGTCCCACCACCAACAACACCGTAATCCCCTTCAAGCTCTGCCTTTGCATTCAACACTCTTGTGGTCCTTGACATAAAATCGAAACACAGAGGAAAAAGATGGTGACTGTCACATATTGAATCTCGTATTGTTTAGTAAAAAGATCACAGAAGAAGAAGAGGAGGAATTTGGGGTGACTGTGAATGTGAGTTTCTGGTTTGGGGCACTCAGATTTGGGGTTGGACCTGAATCTTGATTGTGTTGGGTATTTTTTTATGAAAGAGGGAGACTCATCCGGTTATGAATGATCCACCCGGTTTGCACGATTTGATAAAAAACCAGCCAGTTGGACGAGATTCAATCGGGTTACTTACTTGAATGATCCAACTATAGAAGCAGCCCAGTTTAGGCATCGGGTCATCGATTTTTTGGGTCAACTCACCAGGCCTAGCTAGGTTTTAAAACACTGATTCAAATTTGCAAAAAGTCAAACAAAAAGTCATAACCAACATTTTAATTTCATATTACAATGACAACAATTCCAATTACCATCCAAATTAAAGTATCATTGAACCCAAACTCAAACTCTTCAACTATTTAAAACTCAAATTGTGATGCCCCAAATTTCAGAGTCCTTTGTCAGCCTGTTGATCACCCATTAACCAGTGAAAATACCCATGAATGCCGCATAATCTGGCACCACATCATCACATCACTTCCATCAAGAGCATAACCCACACAAAGTTTGGGCAAAGTCTCTCTTGTACCGGAGCACTCCTAAACGCATAACTTGTTCACATATCAATCACTTGACCATTCCCAAGGTCCATTCCCATCCGTTAAAACTAAATGTTTGTCAAAGTACATCATTCTAACAAAAGGGCTCAAGATCTGAAAACTTGGCAAAGTTATATTTAATTTTTTGAAAATTTGGAAAAGGTACCAGTACCTGAGCCTTCTGTCTGCCAGGTCCCTTGCACTTGCCAAGTACCGATACTTAATCAATTAGGTACTGAAATCTGAGCACACTATTTGTTAGGTACCAGTACCAATATTTTGTGGTACCGGCACCTGAGCCCTCTGTTCATCGAGGTACCGGTACCTAAAGCCTTCGTACCGGTACCCGAGCCCACTGGAATCTAGGAATTGGTACCCGTTAGTCTGAGTACCGATACTTGGGCCTAATTTTTCCCAAATTTTTTCCAAACTTCAACCTTTGTCCATCCAAACTCATTTCATACTCATTCATACATTCATATACATAACTTCTACCCCCATAAGAGTTCATTATATGTCTTCTTAATACAATTTATAAGTTCAATTCAAATTACACAATTGTTTGACAAAATTTTAATTTAAAGCCACATTTCGGCTTCTTCTCAACAAGAGCCCAAGTGATGGTCATCCACCAGCGCTTGTCCCACACTTGAAATATTGTTCTTATAAAGGGTGAGTCACGCTCAATAGGGTATCTCCTAAAGAGGCTACGCCCAACCCAGATGCATATGAAATATTCACATGCAATACAACAATCAAACATCCATTCAAGAATATACAATTCAATAATGAATATCACAATGTCATGTTATATAATGAGGTGAGACTTACACATGCAATGTGCTCGGCTATTTTCCTTGTTATCCCTAACCCCTAAATATCATCCCTCAAAACGTATTTTATATGGATGGAGGGGAATGTCACTCTCCCTTTAAGTAGTGTCAAAAGAAAGGGCAAGGAGATGGGAAAATGGGATGGTGGAAATGTGTTATGTGTATGAAAAAAGATGCTCCCCAAGCGCAAGGAGATTTTTGTGGATCGTGTTTTACTTGGAGGTACTCTAAGGTCATTTCCATAGGGAAGGATGTGAACCTAAGGGAAGGTGATTTTGGGTGAAAGAAACTGTAAAATCTTTTGTTGTTGAAAGTTGTTTGGTGAAGTGTGTTTTGGTGAAAATGAAATGAGAAACAAATGTTGGCTAATCCAAAAGGTCACTCCAATAGGGATACCATCTCAACTCGAATCCCTCCTCCAATAGAATATAAATGTACGATTGATTTGTGGGAAGCTAGGGATAAGATGGGTGAGTATCTAAGCATAAACTGTGACTAGGCCTACGGAATATCAATGACTCACCAACTTATCCACCCTCAACCCAGTCAAACCGAACCATTGAACTCTGAAAGAAGGGAGGAGAATGAGTTGAAATGGCATCCCCAAGTGCAGGTTCCCCTTGGTTTTGCCAACTAAAGGATTTAGTTACTCATGCTTGGGATGAAATTAACAATGAAATGAGAATGCATTGCAAAGGAATGAAGTTCTTAAGTAACTAAATGCAAGCAAACATAAGCTATAAGTGAAAGCAATGAATACCCATTTTACAGCTATGAAGAATGAAGAACATAAATGCATTAATAGTGAAAGCTTTAAAAGGGAATTAAGCTTGCAATGAACTTGTAGGAACTAGAATTAATGACATTCAATGAAGCTCTAAAGATTCTTACAGGAGATTTCAAGGCAATGTATTGAAGAAAATGTAAAAATCTCAATTTATCTCTCTAGAACACTATTCATCATCTTTTCCAAACTCTCTCTCTCTATATATCCTCTGTGTAGTGTATGGAATGCTGAATAATGGAGTCATTTCCCACAAAAAAATGTCCATAGTCTGCTCCCTCAGTTGAGTGATGTGATTTCCATCCATATGGACTGCATGGTGTAGACTAGGACCAGCCTCCACTCTTCTCTATCTCAAGCTTCTTCTCTCTCCTCCTCATTAATGGCCAAGCATCATCAAGACCAAGTAGGGGTGAGGGAGGTCTCCTGGACGTGTAAGGAATGTTAGGAGACTTGATGGAGTGGTGTAAGTGGGACCCCCAAACTGCAGAGTTGAGTTACAAGCTATCTAGGGAATCTAGCAAAAACCTTCCAAAAGGTTGACATAAACCTTCTGAAAGGTTGACATAAAACTTCCGGAACGTTTGTCTAAGAATAGTTAAATGAAGGGGTCAGCAGGAAAAAGCTTCTAGAAGGTTTATTCCAGTAGAGAAAACCTTCCGGAAGGTTTTCGACCAACTTGAATTTTCTAGGTTTTTCTTGGTCTCTTAACCCTCCAAATCTTCCTTTAAGCTACCCCTTCCTCATCATTGACCTCACCCACTTCAATGGGGGTTTAACTCATACCATTTACATCGTTTTACCTGCATTCACACAAGATTCCATCAAAACACAATTTAAACCCAATTCTCCCCAATTTCATGACAAAGCAAGTATAAGAGGCATATTAGTGCACAATATATGTCATGTTTTTATGCCAATCACACCCCCCAAATTGAGCTTTGCTAGTCCCTAGCAAATATTATTTCCAACCACAAGCAATAAGTACATAACCATTCATCCATAAAACCAAATATCACAACAAGCAAAAATCACAACAATTTGAAATCCAAAAATCACATTGCAATTAAGGGAATAACTTTGAGCAACGATAAATAACCAATTGTGGTATTTCATTAATTACTTTCAAAAAGTTCTTTACAATGTGTTCAAAACCCCAAGCAAAAGACGGCCAAAATCTAGAGGCACCTCTACAGGCCGACACCAAAAGAAACCCTAACTACGTATGATCATAGTTCACCACAACCCAAAAGTCTCAGTCCTCCTCCTCATCAAAAGCATCCTCATTCTCAGTCTTGGACTCAAACTCTGACTCCTCCTTGTCCTCGCCATCCATTTCAACAGTCACTGAGGGTATGGGAATAGAAGTTGAAGGTCCAGCTGAAGGCTGCGGGGGTGGTGGTCCTCTGGGGACAGGCCTTCCTGGGAAAGTATGCTAGAAAAGTTGTAGCATCATCTCTAAAATCCTGTGCACTATGGACTCTAGAGCATCCATGCGCTTCGACATTGTGCGAGCCGGGGCAGGTGTAGGCAGTGGGGGTGCTGCAGATGATGTTCCCACATCAGATGGTTGTGCCCTTGGTGCCCCTGCTCCCTTACCCCCAGTCCTGGAAGCTCTTTTCAAACTGTTGGACTTCCCTATGGCTCCAGTCTCTGGGGGGAGCAGTGTATCATGAGCATAATGCTTCACGTTGGCTTGGTCACACAACTTAGTGACGAGGCTACCAAAGGGAAGATTTGCCTTTGGCTTTGCAGCCTGGGCAAACTCCCTCATCTCTAACCAAATAAAATAAGCCACATCAATGGCAACCCCAGTCATGAATGCGTGTAGTAATGCCAACTACTCCTTGTTTGGGTTCTTCTTTGAACCCCGAGGCATTAAATTATAATGAAGCACCTTATTCATGATCCCATATGCATGCTTGAGGCTTCCGACCAACATCGTTCCTGTGAACGTAGTCGGGTCCCCATAAGTGAGGTTTACGTAATCCTGGAGGGTCCTACTCTCTTCCATATTGTGTGGGTAGAATGGGGTGGATGCGGGAGGCCTCGTATACCCCATGGTCGTGGCAATTGTGGTAGGGGTAACCTCGAATGTCTTCCCTCTCACATTTGTCCTCAGTTTACCCCCATTATCACCAAAAATAACCAACTTCTGATAAAATTCGTGACACATCCCCAGGTTGTACCCCTTGACTTCATCGAACCAACAATTCAATCCCCATTCTTCAATGATTCTCACCACCGCATTCGAAGATCCAAGAGTGACCTTGTTGACATACCTCTCACATGTCACCCCCTTTTCTTCAATCCTCTACCTTCTAGTGTTATGTCTTGCCTTTGTCCTCTGCTCCTCCCTATCCTGGGTGCTAGGACTTTCTCCAGTCCTTTTCCAAGAAGTAGAGCTAGAGGAGGGTGGAGACACGGACCCTGTCTTCTTTGTTCAGGCCATGAGGTACAACAATGCCCCAAGACCAAGAACCATCATGCACCACCACCACAGACTCTCAAAAGGCTCCCACATTCCCATAGTCATTCCATTTAATCGAGCCATCGCATTGAGTAAAGGGAATTTAGAGGGATTAAAGGACAACTGAGAGTTATGAGCAAGGATTAAGAACTAGGGTTTATGAAGAGAACTCGGCTAAATCCCACTAGATCTCACCCCTAATCCATAGAAGGTAGGTAAATTGAGGTTTGG